TCCACGATTGGTCAGATTTTCGATACGCGCGATCCGCGATACGCGCGATCCGCGATACGCGCGATACGCTCCGTGGGACTGCACCCTAAGGGTGGAGTCCCATGAGGTGTATTTATCGCGTATCGCATAACCGTGTAACCAATCAGAAGCGATCTGCTGTTATAGTTTCGCGTTTTACTGATTATTGATTGGTTATGCGCTTACGCGATACGCGGCAAACATGCCTGATGGGACTTCACCCTAAGTCAGAAAATTGACCAATCATAGTCGATTATTCTTTTCATATTCGACTGTGATTGGTTAATTTTCTACGACTTAAGGACTCTACGACCGCTACGATTTCTATTATAGACCCCGCATAAGGAAAAAAATAAGCTAAGCTAATCCGGTTCGGAATACACCCACAATAGACGTCCTTTTTTTATCCTGTATATTAAAGACACCTATCGTATAGGTCGCGGACTAAGCGCACGGTGTAAACGTAGCCGTGTAGTACTGAATGCACCCATTGCTTATCGCGCGAATCGCGTTTGTTCTAGGCGTCGCCACGTGTGTGGTGGATACGAAGTTTCTCGTGCGTTTCCGATCTAAAAGAATATTCTGTATTTTTGGATAAACAAATAACAAATGTGTTTTAACCTACGAAGGAAAGTAGGATAGAGATTAATTACTGTCTCTGGACTGGATTATCTCTAAAATCGTGTTTGTTTACCAAAGACACTTATTGATATCTATAGGTGAGGATCTGATTGTAAGACAAAAATGAGCATGTACGATGATTGGGACGTGGAGCAGCATAAAGTGGAATACGAGTCTGACGAGCACTGGGAGTTACGGCGTAAATTCCTGATGACCCACAAACACAAATTTCCCGAAGATATGCTCGTTTGTTTGGCCCAAGTGTTCGTCAATGTCGAACTATTAGGATGCAGGTAATATCTGACAGATCCGTGTTATTCTTGCCTTTACACATTAGGATATTTTCCCTAATGTCAGCGGATGACAGAATAGTGACATAGTATTACAGTGTCAATTTGTAGATGAAATGTGTGTTGCTTAGCTTTTTTATTTCACCACCAAATTAAAATAAAAAGAAAAGGTCTCATATATCTATATCTGAATATATCTGAATACATTCTTAAAATTCCTTAACTATATCTGAATACACTTTTAAAATCCCTCGGAGTATTACTTTTAGAAAAATAAATGGTAATGAAATGTAAAAATTTGTTCATAAAATAATATAAAACGGCGACGCAATCGAATGTAGCATTTTAACTGTATACATTTGTATCGACTTGTAACACAGTTGGAAAGCACAGAATCACTGTGTTATACGATGTCGCCTATGTATATTGCTGAAAATTACCTCATGAGGTTGATCTTTGTGGTTAAACTTATTTCCTGCCTAATATACGAACTGCACAATGCATAGGCGCGTTATGGAAAAATATAAAAGAAACATTAAATAATTAATTAAATAGTTGTTAATTTGAAAAAGTATAAAAATGGGCGATTCTTAAACTTTGTTGATTGTATGACGTTAGTCTCACTTTATGTATATCACATTTCTTATGTACCACGCTCGATATCTAAGTATTGTTTCTTTTACCTGACAGATGGCGTGCGCGCTCTTCCTTTTGCTTTAGTAAGCTTTCTTTTCTATGTGTACTACTAATAAAAACGCCATTGAACAACACACACGTTTATAACAGTGTTACGTCCGCTCAACAATAAATTCACCAGAATCTTAACTAGATATTTTCTTTTCAACCGAGCACACCGATTGGTGCCCCAAGAGCGACGTAACGCCGCTTCCACACAAAACGACCTCGGGTCGTCGCGCGGA